AAACAACTGCAATGCAACTGATCTTTAATATGCCTATACAGGCATACCTTGTTTTATTGTGTTTGCTTCATTGTTCTTTGCAGATACTGGTTTGTTTGTTTTTTTAATTTTACAAATTGAAGGTCTGTGGCAACCCTGCACCAAGCGACTCTATTGGCACCATTTTTCCAACAGCATGGGCTCGCTTCATGTCTCTGGGTCACATGTCAGTAATTATCACAATAGTCCATACTTTTTTATGAGTATTATATCTGTTATGGTGATCTGTCATCAGTGGTCTTTGATGTTACTATTGTAATTATTTGGAGACATAGCAAATAGCGCCCATATCCATCAATGTCATATGTGTTGTAACGGCTCCACTGAACAGCCATTTCCATCTCTCTCCCTCTCCTCAGCCCTTCCTACTCCTTGAGACACAACAATGTTGAAATTAGGCCAGTTAATAACCCTTGGGAGTCAATGGCTCCCAAGTGTTCAAGTGAAAGAAAGTGTTGCACCTCTCTCACTTAAATTAAAAGCTAGAGGCCATGCACGGTGGCTCATGCCTGTAATCCCAGCAGTTTGGGAGGCTGAGGTGGACGGATCACCTGAGGTCAGGAGTTTGAGATCAGCCCAGCCAACATGGCAGAACCCTGTTTCTACTGAAAAAAAAACTACAAAAATTAGCCAGGCATGGTGGTAAGCACCTGTAATCCCAGCTACTCGGAAGGCTGAGGCAGGAGAATCGCTTGAACCCGGGAGGCGGAGACTGCAGTGAGCAACTCCAGCCTGGGTAACAGAGCAAGAAACTCTGTCTCAAAAACAAACGAATAAATAAATAAATAGCTAGAAACGGTGCATCTTAGTAAAGATGGCATGTCAAAAGCTGAAATAAGCAAGGTTTCCTGCACCACACGGCCAAGTTGTGAATGCAAAAAAAAAAAAAAGTTCTTAAAGAAGATAAAAAGTATGACTCCTGCGAACACATGAGTGATAAGGAAGCCAGACAGCCATATTGCTATGTGGAGAAAGTTTGAATGGTCTGAGTAAAAGATCAAACCAGCCACTACATCGCCTTAAGCCAAAACCGAATCCAGAACAAGGTCCTAACTCTCTTCAATTCTGTGGAGGCCGAGAGAGGTGAGGAGGCTGCAGAAGGAAAGTTTGAAGCTAACAGTGGTTGGCTTGTGAGTTTGAAAGAAGGAAGCTGTGTCCATAACATAAAAGTACAAGGTGAAGCAGCAAGAGCTAATGTACAATCTGCAGCAAGTTGTCTGTAAAATCTAGCTAAGATCGTTAATAAAGGTGGCCACACTAAACAAAATATTTTCAATGTACATGAAACAGCCTTTCACTGGAAGAAGATGCCATCTAGGACTTATATAGAGGAAAAGTCAATGCTTGGCTTCAAAGCTTCAAAGGACAGGTTGACTCTCTCTTGTTAGGGGCCAATGCAGCTGGTGACTTAAAGTCGAAAGCAATGCCCACATACCATTCTGCAAATCCTAGGATCCTGAAGAAGTATGCTAAATCTACACAGTCTGTTCTCTATAAATGGAACAAGCCTGGATGACAGCACATCTGTTTGCAGTGTGATTTACTGAATATTTTAAGCCCACTGTTGAGACCCATTGCTCAGGAAAAAAAAAAAAAAGTTCCTTTCAAAATATTACTGTTAATTGACAATGCACTTGGTCACTCAAGAGCTCTGATGGAGATGTACAAAGAGATAAATGTTGTTTTCATGCCTATTAACACAACATCCGTTCTAGCCCATGGATCAAGGAGTCATTTCTACTTTCAAGTCTCAGGATTTTAAAAATCTAATTTGTAAGGCTATAGCTGCCATAGATAGTGATTCCTCTGATAGATTTGAGAAAAGTAAATTGAAAACCTTCTGGAAGGGATTCACTATGCCAGATGCCATTAAGAACATTTGTGATTCATGAGAGGAAGTCAAAATAGCAACTTGAACAGGAGTTTGGAAGAAACTGATTCCAGCCCTCATGATTGACTTTGAGGGGTTCAAGACTTCAGTGAAGGAAGTAACTGCAGACTTGAAAGTAGAACTGACTCTTTGAACCATGGGCTAAAATGAATGTTATGTTAGCAGCATGAAAACAACAGTCATCTCCTTGTACATCTCCATCAGAGCTCTTGGGTGACCAAGAGCATTGTCAATTAGCAGAAGAAGAGCAAGAGAACTAGAATTAGAAGTGGAGCCTGAAGATGTGACTGAATTGCTTCAGTGTCATAATAAGACTTGAACAGATAAGGGGTTGCTTTTTGTGGATAAGCAAAGAAAGTGGTTTCTTTAGATGGAAATTACTCTTGATGAAGATACTGTGAACATTGTTGAAATGACAACAAAGGACTTGGAATATTCCATAAACTTAGTTGATGAAGCAACAGCAGGGTTTAAGAGGATTGACTTCAATTTTGAGAGAAGTTCTACTGTGGGCAAAAGGTTACCAAACAGCATCACATGCTACAGAGAAATCTTTCATGAAAGGAAGAGTCCTGATGTAGCAAACTTCATTGTTGTCTTATTTTAAGAAATTGCCACAGCCACCCCAGTCTTCAGCAACCACCACCCTGATCAGTCAGAAGCCATCAACATCAAGGCAAGACCCTCCACCAGCAAAAGGATTATGACTCGTTGAAGGCTCAGATGATCATTAGCAATTTTTAGCAATAAAATATTTTTAATTAAAGTATGTACATTGGTTTTTTCAGACATAATGCTATTGCACACTTAATAGGCTACTGTATATTGTAACCATAACTTTTATATGCACTGGGAAACCAAAACATTTATGGGACTTGCTTTATTGCAGCAGTCTAGGACTGAACTCACAATAGATATGGATTTTATTTATAGAAAAGTAAAGTATTCTGATCATCAGAAGGTTTTCAGATTTAAAAAGTGACACATTATACCTTTTTAGAGAATACTGTATAATTTAATTAAGATTAATTTGATACATTGGATTGAGCTAGTTCATAGTTTATCCCTGTTGTATATAATCTCTATTGAACTTTGGGATGCATTTGATTATTTGTTATAAATAATTTTATTCTTAGCTATAGAAACATAAAGTAAACGGCACATGTTGTACAAATCTCAGAAAGGTGAATTTATTTTTATTGCCTCATTGATTTCACTAAAACTTGTTTCAAAAAAAGCCCTTTGTTCTCATGACATTTTTAAACTGTGGGTCCGAAGGACCAATGGTATTAATAATACACTATATTATATAATATACAAAATAATACAATAATCATAAAAAACTCACATGTTTATAATGCTTCATGAAATCCATATGCTTTCATATACATCATCTTGATTTCCCTAACAATCTTTTGTTACAGGTGATAAAGCAACAGAGGACCAAGGAGCCTGACATGCTCAAGGTCACATCAATAGTAAATTTAAAAAGTGAAACCAAAATCTGGGCCTCCCCCGCCTAGTCCACTAGTATTTCCATCCCATCATGTTGTAAATTGAATTCCTATATTGAGTAGTGTGATGGTTAATATTGAGGATCAACTTGATTGGATTGAAGGTTGCAAAGTATTGTTCCTGGGTGTGTCTGTGAAGGTGTTACCAAGGGAAATTAACATTTGAGTCAGTGGACTGAGTGGACTGGGAGAGGCTGACCCACCCTGAGTCTGGTGGGCACCATCTAATCAGCTGCCAGTGTGGCTAAAATAGAGCAGGCAGAAGAACGTGGAAGGACTAGACTGGCTGAGTCTTCCGGTCTTCATCATCCTCCCGTGCTGGATGCCTCCTGCCCTTGAACATCAGACTCCAAGTTCTTCAGCTTTGGAGTCTTGGACTTACACCAGTGATTTGCCAGGGGTTCTAGGGCCTTCGGCCACAGACCAAAGGCTGCTCTGTCGGCTTCCTTACTTTTGAGGTTTTGGGACTTGGACTGGCTTCCTTGCTCCTAAGCTTGCAGATAGCCTATTGTGGGACTTCACCTTGTGATTGTGAGTCAATTCTCCTTAATAAACTCCCTTTCATATATACATCTATCCTATTAGTTGTGTTCCTCTAGGGAAGCCTGAATAATACAAGTAGGATAGAATAGATGACATTTTAAGGGTATACTATTTTACAAGTCAATTTTGTAAAGTGCCTGATTCACATTTCTCAATATTCTTTATAATTTTCAGGTATTATATTAAGAAAATTTAGATAACATCAAAAAAAGTGGGAAGTAAATTTCAAAACTTCTTCCTGCTGTGCTTACTCAAAGTTGAGTAGTGCAACTTCCTTTTCTTTTTTTTTTTTTAACTCTTATTATAGAAAGCTATACCAAAGTTAAACTCTTCATCCCATTTTCTAAAATCAAATTGTAGTCTAGGAGAGAGAGAGAGAAAATGGGAATGAGAATATGTTGATGCTTTAAGGACAAAAAATATCAACTGAGGAGTCTTGTCTTTGTCCATTTACAACTCTCCTCCGTTTCTATCCCTTTTGCCGAGAAGAGCACCCAAAATCAGCCTAGACTCACTTTTGCAAGATTTGACTTTAGGGCTGAACTCATCTCTGTCTCCAGTTAGGTGTAGTAAGTATCCAAGTCTCCAAAAGATCCAGCTAAATCAACATTTATACTCTTATGTAACATCTGTTCTGAGAGTGAAGTTCATGCAACTGAATAACCTTATAAATGAACTGAAACACAGGACTCAGGTTTTTTAAAAACTGTGTGTACAGACATAACCAAAAAATTCTGCATATGGGCAACTGAGAATTTGTCCATTGCAATTATAATTGCAATTCACAATATGCCCAGTCTCCATCTGCAGGTTGCAAATGCTTATTACACCATTATGTGGCAAGTGTGGGCCTCAACTGTGGAAAAAGTTTTTGGAGGAAGGTATTTGGAATTCAATATCTTTTTAAGAGTTGGTAGAATGAATTTATTATAGTGGTGAAACCATAAATACTTTTTTGGGTTTCATGGTCCCAGAATGTATATGTACCATATACACCATGTCTTATTCAAATATAGGCATTCAAAAAAATGTTTATTGGATGAATATATATAAATGAATGAATGAGTGTGTTTTGTAAAGGAATCTGGGAGTCAAAATGTGGCCAGAAGAACCCAAGTCCTGCTCCAGTGACCAGATTAACCAGTCCAATTTTCCCACTGTGCTCAACGTTTCTCTTTGGTTTGTAGCAAGAACCACTGTCCTCTTTGACATAGTGCAGAAACAAATGAGAAGCAGATGAGCAGGAAAACCCTAGAGCCTAGCATTTGTTTTTAACCTGATTTTCTGGCTTCCAGTATTTTGGCTCATTAAACAGGAAAACAAAATTAACTGTTTATAATTTTCAAAACTCTTTGCATTTTCACTCTTTCCAGATACAAACAACTTCAAAGGCAAAATCACAAGAGGGTATGTGGTGAACAAGGCCTAGTTACCAAAAGAGGTCACATGAAAATTAAAAAGCATTGAAGGATAAATAGCAGTCCATATTGTCCAGGGGGATGAGCTATGCAACCTAAGTAAAAATTAAAACCAAATTACAGACACTAATTAGTGTTGTATAACATACCGATTCATTTGCATACAATGCAATTATCCTGATAGGTGCTGGATTCAACACATCCAGCTGGGTTAGTGCATCTCCAGGGAACAAAGGCATTCGGTTTTTTCCCTGTGTGTTGGCTGTGTTCTCTTATGACTGTGATTGCAAATAAACAATCATTCCCAGCACCTTTAGACTTTGAACATTTGAAACAAAATCAATACAGATTGTGCATGGGGAGCATTCAGACCCTCTCAGATGAACAACTAACAGGCTGATTCTGGGTCCGTACTCCATTTCTAGAACATTCTATCTGATCTTGTGTTTTAGAAAACCACATTTATTTTATGCTATATAAAGAATTCTTCTTCGTCTTCTTCTTTTTCTTCACCCTGAACTTGCACATGAAAGAGACATTTTGAAATTGTCTTCCTGGTACCAAGGTCCCTTTGGCCAGCAAGTGGCAAAGGAGAGACTCTTTCCTTAAGGACACTGTTGTTTTTGGAGGTAGCCACCCCCAAGGAAGAGGCTGGCAAGCAGAATGGTGGCTGGCTGGTCTGCAAATCCCTTGGAAATCCACCAAAATAAATCTGCGTGGGTTCAGAATTTATGATGGTGAACCCAGTGTCAACATTCGTCTCGGCCTCAAGCTTCTGAAAGTTGTTTTCTCGGTTGAGGACCTTCATTCTGGCCCCGGATTCAAGGTGATGAGAAGACAGGTGTAGGTGGGAACCCATAGCTGGGTTGCTGGTCTGGAATGACCGGCCAGGGCTTTTCCACAAAGTGCCACCACAGCTCTCTGATGTGGGGCTCCCAGTGGGTTCAGGAAGCTCCAGAGAATGCCCCTGGGACCTCTTGCCCTGGTTCCTCTGGATCCTGGGTTCTAAGGTCCTCTTTGCAGAGATAGAAGTCAGCCCGGAGCCCAGGGGAAGCATGCCAGCTCCCAAGGTGCCATTCTTAACACCAAGTTCTGGATTCAGCTGGACCTACAGGAAAAGAAAAGGAGGAACATACAAAACATAATTTCCATTAACTAAGTGCCAAGAGCTGACTATGCCTCATTCACCCTCTGCCATGCCATGTCCATAGCAGACTTTCAGTAAATTTGGTTGAATTGAACAGAAGTGCTAAGTACAATATAATTATGAGGTATCTAATCAGCCCCAGTTCCAAATACCTCTCTCTGAGACTCCCTAAATTAAGTTTTTGATAAGGTTAAGACTTTGGGAATCAAATGGTCAATTGACAACACCACATTTCTGGTACAGCAAGTTGTTCAAACAATGCAGACATTCACACATGTCATTTAGTGACCTCACTGGATGTTGTTAATGATGTATTTATTAGCAACCATGCAAAAAAAGAAATTTAAAACGCCACCAAAACATGTGGTTAAAGTTAAGGATTAAAGTAAGAATTCAATCTTCCAAAGCTGGTGATCCTTCTAATAAAAATATGTATCTTGGGCCATTCTAAGACATGGGACCACTCCAGGCAGGCTAAAAATTTGGCAGCAATGTCCTTTAAATTCTTGGGGCACCATTTATTTAGATTAGAGGACTGGTATTGTGGGAGAAAACAAAAAGGGGGCACATCTTATATGGAACTTCAGGTGTTTTATTTCTTAGCAATTCCACTCTGGTTACAAACTTACAGACCCCACTCAGCAAAACACTCACCCCACAGTTGACTGCATTCTCCCTCCACAGAATGGAGTTCACTGACCTCCCCTTTAAGACTTTGACCCTTGGGAGCCTTGCATCCTAGTCCATGCACAACACTCTTCCCAAGAAGATTTCTGGAAAAAGTCCATTTTTTCCATTTTAATAACAGCCCTTGGAAATTGGTATCCAGGATCCATCCCTACCTGGCCCAGCCCTTAATCAAATATCAAGAAGAATGATACGGAAGAACTTGAAATAAATACTACTAACTGAAAGACGCCCATCTGGGCTCATGCCTGGAATCCTAGCCCTTTGGGAAGCTGAGGTGGGAGGATTACTTGAGGCCAGGAAATCAAGACCAGCTTGGACAACTAGCAAAAAATAAAAACATTAGCCAGACGTGTGGTGCACACTTATAGTCTATTCAGAAGGCAGAAGCTATTCAGAAGGCAGAAGAAGGAGGATCCCTTGAGCCCAGGAGTTCAAGGTTAAATTGAGTTATGACTGCACCACTGCACTCCAGCCTGGGTGACAGAGAGAGACCATATGATGCCAACTATACGACACTCTGGAAAAGGCAAAACTATGAAGAAAGTAAAAAGATCAACCAGGGGTGGGGAGAGGGAGGGTTGAATAGGTGGGGCATGGAGGACTTTAGGACAGTGAAACTACTCTGCATGATAGTGTAATGGTGGATGCACATCCTTATACATTTGTCCAAACCCACAGAATGTATGACACCGAGAATGAACCCTAATGTACCCTATGGGCTTTGGGTGATGGTGATGTGTCATTGTAGGTTCCCCAGTTGTAACACATGTACCACTCTGATAAGGGATGTTGACAGGAAAGGATGCTCTTTTGGGAGGGAAGGTGGTATATGGGAACTCTCTGTTCTTTCTGCTTAATTCTGCTGTGAACCTACCACTGCTGTAAAAAAAAAATGAAGTCTATTTCAAGGGAGAAAAAAAAATGATACATATTTATCTTACGAGGCAAGAAGGCAGAAATCAGGGCAGTGAGAAAACAGGTCTAGAAATGAGTAAATTCTCTCTCTCTCCCTCTCTCTCTCTCTCTCTCTCTCACACACACACACACACACACACACAAAGAACGTATTCGTTGTACAGATGACGCACATGTACATTCTCTCAATTTTCTGATAGAAATGATGAGATGCCTATTACCAAACTGCAAAAACAAACACAAAAAAACAAGGGCTTCCATTGATTCTTTTAGAATAGAAGTTGGCAAATATTTTCGGCAGGGAGCCAGACAGTAAATATCTGAGGGTTTGCCGGCCATATGGTCTTTATCCCAACTACCCAACTCTGCCGCAGAGCAGCCATAGACAATATATAAATGAATGGCTGTGTTCAGTAAAACTCTATGTATGAACCCTGAAATTTGAATCTCATATCTTTTTATGTGTCGTGAATTTTTTTTCCAATCATGTAAAAATAGAAAACTATTTTTAGTTCCCGGGCCACAGTTGACCAAGCCCTATTCTAGATCAATGATTCTCTCTCTCTCTCTTTTTATGTGTGTGTATATATATATATATATAGAGAGAGAGAGAGAGAGAGATAGTTTCACTGGAGTGCAATGGCGCAATCTCAGCTCGCTGAAACCTCCGCCTCCCAGGTTCAAGTGATTCTCCTGCCTCAGCCTCCCGAGTAGCCAGGATTACAGGCATGCTCCACCACGCCCAGCTACATTTTGTATTTTTAATAGAGATGAGGTTTCTCCATGTTGGTCAGGCTGGTCTCAAACTCCCAACCTCAAGTGATCCACCTGCCTTGGCTGGGATTAACTGGTAGTCCAAAATATGAAACAATCTAATTAGAGCAGCCCTGGTTGAAGTGCAGAGGGTAGCCTCTGCCTACTGGACCCCCTCTCTAGTTTCCCAGGGCTTCCCAGAACCAGCTTGAACACTACTATTCTAGAATATCTAAATTCAACCCCTGGGCCAAGCCAGTTCATTAGAGAGCCACACACACCTGAAACCCCCATCCCAGATGTGTTTGTACTGAACCACAGCTGAGTGTGGTGCCCCAGAGTGTGCTGAAGAGAGCTTCCGCCAGCATCAGAAACTCTCTCTAGGGGGCGACACTGTTGAAGGGATGCCCACTGCACTGCGGCACGTGACCTTATGCAAACCCATAGGAGAAATTTCTGTTTCCAAACTTTGCTGCACAAGGGAACATCCTGGAATCATTAAAAAACAATGAAACCTGCTCCCAGCCCATGACCTCCTGATTTCATCAGTTCAGAGTACGCCTGGCTATCACAGTTGATAAATCTCCCCAGGTAATTCTAATGTGCAACAAAGTTTGGAAACTACTGCCATGGAGCCAGAAAAGCTAGGCTTCGAGTAGTCAGTTACCTTGCAGTTGCTGTGAGTCTGTTTCTTATCACATACAGCCGAACTTCTCCTCCACATTTCTGAAAAACTCTTTGCCTAATTTCATTTAGCTATCTCTCTCTATATTTCTTTTTGCTCTAATTCCACACCCCCGCCCTCCCTCCCTTCCTTTCTTCTTTTTTTCTTTCTTTCTTCTTTCCTTTCTTTTCTTTTTTTTTTTTTTCACTTTTTTTTTTTTTTTTTTTAAAGTTTTATTATAAAAGTAGTAATTTATCACCATAAAAATAATTTCATTGTACCAATGAGTAAAATAAAAAGTAAAGCCTTCTCCCCACCCCAACCTCAAATCACCCCCAAATTCTCACTGTCCAATGAAAACTATTTGCTTATCCTTTCAAAATCAGGAGGAAAAAATTCTATCTCCGAAATGTCAGCTGGGGTTTCCCTTCCCCTGGAGAACAAACTCCCTCAGTCCTTCAAAGGGCCAACTACCATCATTGCCTCTTGGAGAATCATTTGACACTGTCCTTGTATCATAATGTACCTTTTTATTTGACCCAATGACATCTTTTTCTTCTAGAAATGGAAACTGGCATGGATATTTCCATACTCAGAAATGGTTCAGGGTTGATATTAGATTATCCAATCTGGAGAAAGAAATCAATAACTTTGACTCTGGGGCTTGTATTTCATTCTCTAGCAACTGTGAACAGGGAGAGAAGCCTGAGTAATCTCCCTCTTGCCACCTAAATCAATGTCAGATCACAATGAAATTGGTCCTGAAGCCCCAACCAGTGCTGAGACATCTCAGGGCAGCCAGGAAGCGCCCTCCTGGGCCAGCCCAGCTCACCCCTGCACTCACCTCTGTCACTCAGTCCCACAGCCCCTCCACTGGGCCTTCTCCACCTGCAAAAGTCCCATCTTTGAAAGATTCTATTTAAGCCGGGCACTCTGAGGCCACGGGCTCCAGCACTCAATTCCCCATCACATCTGCTCTTCAACATCAACACTCCCAATCCCCAGCTTCTCCCTGTAAACCCCACCCATCCGCACTGCCTTTCAGAGCCAATCTGAGTCCAAAGACTATCACTTCAACCATTTCTTCGCCAATACCTCCAATTCCCCTCGCTATTCCCATTCTGTCACAGACTCCCACAAAATCTCCCCACCTTTCATCCATCTACCTGCCTACATTTTCTGAACATGTGCTCAGGATGCCACAGAAACGCATGTGTCTGTGAAATGGTTGCCCCATGATGGTGTGGTTTCCAGCCTCTCCCAGGCTATCTGCCAGTCTGCCTGCTTCTTTCGTCACTTCTCTCCATTTAACCAGCAGCTGTTAAAACCTTCAGAACTGTCCTGAAACCTTCAGCGGCACCATCGCCCCCGCTCTGTCTCATCAGGTGGTCTCACCATCTAGATTACCAAGAAAGCAGATGCTGTCACCAGTTAGCAACACTCTCGTTGCTATCGCGAAACTTACCTGCAGCTTCACCATTCTCTCTAGGTGAAAGTGACCGGTCCCTGGGCCAAGATTCCCATCACCTCCCACCTTCTTGGTGACCCCGACTTATCAATTATTCATTTTTCCCACTTTCTTATCTTGGATGTTTAATCTCTCTCCCTCTCCTCTTTCTCTCTCTCTGCCTATTCCTTTCCAACAGCAATTAAACTTGCTCAAGTCTCCTGTCTTGAAAAACACATTCTTTCCACCCTCTCTTTCCCTCCAGGTTTCTCTCTCCTCCCCTTCACTGTCAAACCTCTATAGGAAATTTGTGTACAGTCATGTTTTTCTACAAACCTCCCCTTATTTTCTCTACTCATGCCACTGACAAGATAAAATCTAAGCTCTTGGATGTGGCCTGCCTCACCCTTTACTGTCTGCCTCTTCTTACACCACGCTGGTAAATTTCTCCTACCACTCCACTGAAATTGCTCTTGCGAAGATCATCTACAA